AATTCAGAGCTTGTCTGCAAAGGGGAATGTGTGCTGTTGTCACCTAAAATATGCATTGAAACCAGTGCAGTTAAACTACTGCAAACACCTTTGTGGGTCTTTGGATTCGGTTTGGATTTGGAACAGACTTTAGTGAACAAACAAATTTCCTATGGAGAAAATTCTGATCTTTTACCTGGCTCTCGCAACCAGCCTATCTGAATGATTCAGTCAAATAATGAGGTTAGACTTAGGTTGGCCTCACCTGTTGTTTGCCTTTAAGAGGTGATTCTTAGACCAGTCGGTTACTCATGCTCCCTTAGTCATGCACTCTCAATGTAAACAGCCTTGATTGGTTTTCAATTGGTTTTCAGCCACAACAATGACTCAAGGGAATGGGAAAAGGAGAGAAGAGGTTGACCCCGCTAAGGTCACTGGGTGGTTGAGAGTTGTTCCGCTTGTTTTTATTCCATGGAAGGACATGGCTGCCAAAGGAAGTGGACTGCAGAACTGAGGCTTAGTGCCTGATGTGCCTGTGTTCTCCTGGATTGGCTGTGTGTGGGGGTGACACAGAGGTTGCCTATTTACTATGGGCAAACATAGGGGGAGGGATAGCTCAGTGGTTTGAGCATTGGCCTGCTAAACCCAGGGTTGTGAGTTCAATCCTTGCAGAGGCCATTTAGGGATTTGGGGCAAAAATTCATCAGGGATGGTCTTGCTGTGAAGGCAGGGGACTGGACTCAATGACCTTTCAAGGTCTCTTCCAGTTCTAGGAGATAAGTAATCTCCATTATTAAAAAAAAAACAAAACATCTTGAGGTACCTAACCTCAATAGATTCCAATGGCTGTCGGCCTCCGTGCCTGGCAGGCAGTAGTGCTGGCCGCTGCCATTAAGGTGAAAGGGGGAAAAGGTTTTGGTGAGGGTGGAAGCTCCCAGCCAGCCAGGGCCTGGCACCCTACCCATACTCTCTTCATAGCCAAAGGCTATTTTTAACCCTTAACCCCCAACCCTACTGCAGCTGCAGTCAAATTCTCACCACTACAAACTGGTTCCCAGCCACCGCCTCGTCTGTAACAACAGGGCATCGGTGGCTTCATGTTGACATTTACATGGACTCGTGGTTCTCAGCCAGGGTTACGAGGCTGCCTGGGGGGCTGCAAGCCGGTTTCAAGGGTCCACCAAGCAGGGCCAGCGTCAGTGGCGACAGCAGGGAGGGACACAAAAGGGGGCACTTCGCACATGACTGTCCCCCACGAGTCCTTCCCCGTCTGTAACAACAGGGCATCGGTGGCTTCATGTTGACATTTACATGGACTCGTGGTTCTCAGCCAGGGTTACGAGGCTGCCTGGGGGGCTGCAAGCCGGTTTCAAGGGTCCACCAAGCAGGGCCAGCGTCAGTGGCGACAGCAGGGAGGGACACAAAAGGGGGCACTTCGCACATGACTGTCCCCCACGAGTCCTTCCCATGCCCCCCTGCCCCCAGCCCGCTCTGCTCCCCGGGTCCCAGCCATGTCCCTGCATCGCTGTGCAATGGGGGTGGGGAAAGGGGTGGAACTGCCCCCCACCCCGCACTCATTGACGGCGGGAGGCGGAACCATGCGGCTGGGAGCCTGGGCAGCAGAGAGGGCTGGGGATGGGTTGCTCTGTTTCCCACCCCTGCTGGGAAGTGTGGGGGGACCAACCCCACTGCTGGCACCAGGCCCCCATTAATTGCCTGGGCCCTATAGGGCCCCCAAAGCATGGGGTCTGGCATGGTTGAACGAACCATCCACAGGACAGGACATTTGTACCTGGTGGCTGCTGGTCCCTTCCCTTCCCCCC